TGGCTGCTAAAACACCCTGAGGAAACATAAATCTTGATGTCTCTTGTCCCAGTCTGGGGCAACCAGAGAAGACCATGATCCCAAGGTTTTTCTTGCAAGGAAGTCCCACTGACTTCTGTTTACTGGTCACTTCTGAGTAAACATGCCAAAAATTCTCCTGCCTCTAAACCTAGTGAGTGAAGGCTTTGCCTAATAAAGTGGACTGAAAAGAGTTCAGGATTGTGACCACCACTTTTAGCACTTGTCAGTCACAACATTTAGCCTTTAAAGAACAGAATCACAGCTATAGGCCACACTCCCACACAGGCAATCAAAGACAGCCAGGATGCACCACTTCCTTCCTAGTAGACCCCTAATTAGGCAGGGAAAAAAAGCCAGGCTGGGGGTTTGAGCACAATGCACACAATATTTAAGGGGCAATTCAATGCATGTATACTCAGAGGCAAGTGGCCCTTTGATCTCAAGGCAGTCTCCAAAGAAGCATGGGTGGGAAGGCAGCCTGAAACCACAGGACAGCTCTCTTTCCTGCATCTTCTAGGCAAAGTCTGAAAGTTTGCTTTGAGGATGAAATATTTTAGACCTTGTTAGATGATGAAATGGATGTGGGTAACTAATTTTCTAGATACTCTGCTATCATTTCCCCCTTGAATCTATGGTGTAGCTATGGCAGAAATCCATGGGTCCTGTAGTCAAGGGATCCCCAAAAGATACCTCTCCAGAGTGGCAGGTGGGAAAGGCAGGAGGTTCAGACAAGTTCAGTAACCGTCCCTGGCTTGGCCTAGGAAACTGCAGGCTGTTAGAGGTGCCACTCCTCACAACATGCTTGTTTTGCCAAAACATGTTATAGGCTCATCTCATTATTTTTGCTTCTAGAAGTATTTGCCAAGCATATGGCTGTGTGAAGTCCCCATATCACTAACTCCATTAGATTGGAATCTAAAATTACTTTGCTACAGCACAGCCTTATTTGATTTATATCCTGCCTTCAATCCAGGAACTCAAGGCAGCCTTCATAGACTTCCTTCTCTTATTTTACCTCACAAGAACAGCCTTGTGAGGTAGGTTGGGCTGAGAAAGAGTAACTGGCCCAAAGCCCCCTCTCTGGCTGAGGGCAGAGCAGAACGTGGGTTTCCCCATCCCAGACCAACATCTCAACCTCTTCACCACATGGGGACTCTCTCCCTGCCTTGAGTTCACTGGGGCTTACTCCCAGGTAAGGGGTGGTATAAATTTCCAGGATTAATGTAAGAGGACAGAATCAATTCAATTCTTTGTTTAACTTACACATTTTGCAAATACAGTCAGTTGATCTTAATTGGTGTTCTGGAATAAGCACTGAAATGGGATATATCTTTTTATACAAAATATATAGAAAACAAAGACTAGAAATTTAAACCTTTGGCAGAGATATATAGAGACTGAGGGAGAAACAGCCTTTCTGAAGTGTTTAAGAACACAGTGAAAGTGGGCATGACATTTGGGATAGAAATAAATGATTACACAATGAATAGTTTTCTTTTCGTTTTAATCTCAAAAGAAAGGAGGGCCCAGCTTTACCAGACTTACCCATTTTGTTTAGGAGCCATCCCAGCCCTTCATGTTGTGAAAAGGGCTTTCACAGGTGCTTAGCCCTGCTCTAGTGCTTCCTGTGCCCAATGTTGAAAACAGGGTGGGTGGGGGGTGGGGCTAGAAAGAGACAAAGTATATTGGACCAGCCAGCCAGGAGCATCATTCTGCACCTCTCAGTTTGGAATGAGACATGGCCCTCCCTCCTCTCCTGTAAAGGATTCTGACTGAGGCATTTATGTTGCTCTTTTGGTGGAGTTAGATTTCCAATAAACCGAGCCCTCCCCTTGCCAGCTAGGAAAATATCAGAAGTTGATTTGATACAGAAAATAATTTCGCCCTGCATGTTTTCGGGAGAACAGACTTTCCCATCCTCTCAGCTGCTAAAAGTCATCATCTACCTTCTACAAACTCAGATGAAGTAAAGGCTACTTTAACATCAGAAATAATAACATCCCAAGCTCCAAACAAAACAAAGGGGAGAATATTTCAGGTTTCAAGGACTGAGCAAAGGAATAATAAAGGCAGCTTTCTTTGCAAAATAACTGCACTAGAATTCATATGGAGATTCGATCCTATTCTTCATGAATTAAACCAAGATTGGAGTTTCTTATCACACCACATGTGTTAATTTGCTCAGAAACAAGAATACCCCTTCTTAATGCCTTACTACTGCTTGTTTAAAGTCACTCTGGGTAATTTTCACTCTCTTTTTCCTTTTACCATTTCCTATTCTCCTTTTCCCAACACACACACACACCACAGAGGAGTTGCCTATATATATAACACTGAGCTCTCCAGACTAGACTTCCAAGTCTGATGAAGAGGCTGTAAACCACCAAAGTTTAGAGGACAATTAATGCTAGTTTTCAGGTTGCTGCAGGATTCTCCCATACCAGTTACTAATATCCTGAGACTCTTCCCCAACCTGAGTTATCTGAAGAAGCCAGATTAGGATTACCATTACAATTGCCAGCAGGGTCAACAGGAGATTGTGGGTGATGTGCATTGTAGTCCAACCCATCTGGAGGCCTTGGATTGGGGAAGGTTTTTGCCTACACAGCCATTGCCAACTTCTCAAGGAAACAGGCAACTGAAGGAAAACCTGCTGGCAGGGCAGATCTTGTTGGTAGCAGTTTACCT